GTCCCCCCCAAGCAGTAGGGTAGAGGCTTCCCGGGCTTCGGGGTGGCACCTCTGGGGCGTTCTCCCCTTTGAGGTACAAAGACCTTTTTTTAAGGGATTAAAGCCCTTTTAAGGGGTTAAAGCCCAAATTCAGGCTTAGCAAGGATGCTTTGTGTCCTCCGGGGACAGTTTCCACCTCTCCTTTCCAAAGGCTACAGGCCACAGGTTGGAAACCACTGCTGTAGGGGCAAGGAAGGAATGAAGAAAATCCCAGACAGGAGGCTGGCGAATAGGGTACAAAGACCTTTTTTTAAGGGATTAAAGCCCTTTTAAGGGGTTAAAGCCCAAATTCAGGCTTAGCAAGGATGCTTTGTGTCCTCCGGGGACAGTTTCCACCTCTCCTTTCCAAAGGCTACAGGCCACAGGTTGGAAACCACTGCTGTAGGGGCAAGGAAGGAATGAAGAAAATCCCAGACAGGAGGCTGGCGAATAGTTCCTCTGCCTCAGCATGAGTCCCAAATTACAGGGAATGGGCTCAAGTTCCTCACAGTCTGATTCCGCTCTGCTGTGGAAAAAAATATATGTATTTCCTATCACTGATATCCCAGAAGGGGACAATGCCCTTTACGAAATTCAGCCCATGGCTCTTACTGCCCTTCCTGACCCTCACGGGACACTCAGGGCTATGCCTTTCCACCACTCTGCAGGGATGTATCCTGTCCTGGGCCTGCTACTCCGTGTCCTGCAACTCTGCCTATGCCCAGTTCTCCCCATTTGATTTTAAGTCTATGGTCTTGCATGTCTTCCTAGATCAAGGTGAAATTAAGCCCTCAGAGAACATTATTCCTCAGCCATAACAATGGCTTTTGCCTGGCAGATTATTTTATCTCCTCCGATACCCCTCTCAGCTTTCTGTGCCTGGTAATAGTTTAGCAGGTTATGCAATTCCAAGAGGGGTTAATGGATCCATCGTGACAAGTTATCTTTATAGGGTTCTTCAAATCAGCTAGTTTGCATTTGGGGAAAGGGTTAGTGGCTGTTAAGGCTGGGGACCTACCTGGAGAACACCCTACGAGAGACCCTTTTAGCCTGCAAGTGTCTCCAGTGAAAATGGAAAAAATGCCACTTTTACTGGTAGGAACGTGCCAAGCAGCTCCTGACTAAGTGCAAACCCACTTGATCCCTGCCCAGAAATTCCTAGAAAGCCAGGGCACCCTGCAGGACAAAGGTGGCATGCAGTGGTGTGAAATGCTCCTTGGGAGCTGGGCTGAGCACAGCTGAGGCTTTCCTGGCAGCCTGTGCTTTACCTGGACAACTCAATTCAAAGAACCAGCTGTAAGGTGACTGGGTTCTCCTCTGAGGGGGGTAAGCTGGTGTGAACTACAGCCTGGCTGTAGTTACCGTGGGCAGCCTGGACCTGCTAGACCCCGTCCGCGTGGTGGTGTAAGCTGTGGGTACCCATGGTGCAGGTATTTACACAGAACGTGGAGGAAGGGAACCCAGTGACCTCCTCCATGCCTCCCTGTTGTTCCCATGTAACTGGCCACCGCTTTCTTGCTGCAGGAGAAGCTTTTATTTCCTCTCTCCATGCCAACCATGCCTAAGCACGCTCTGTGTGTTTGTAGGAGGACAAGTTGATGCCAGCGTGTGGAACAGGCTGCCGCATCGCTGAGCTATAGCCCTCGTTCTGCAGTATTTCCTTTCTGGAGGAGCAGAAGCATGGAGAGAGATGGAAATGGGGTGAGTAGAGAAGGGGCTGATGTGGCAGAGGGCATTCAGAGACTTTCCCATCGCCAGTCCTGTACTGGTATCCCATGAAAAGGTCCTGCTGCCAAGCGACTGATTCCTACCCTTGAGCTCCCATGCTCCAAATCCACCCCAGAACCCACTTTTCCATAATTCCTCCCAATCCAGCATCTTGCAGGGATCGATCCAGCAGCTTGAGGGGGGTTTTACGGCACAGCTTGCTCATTTCCTTCAGACTCGGAGCACATCCAGCTTGCTCATGTGCTCTGGCATCAGAGCAATGCATGCCCTGAGCTGCGCGTGATCCCGAGCTAAGCAAAGCAGGACTGTGCCTGCGGTGCCTGTCCCGGGCAAGTGGGCAAGTGTGAAGAGCCCCTCTGGCAGGAGTACGCTAGGCTGATACACGATAGCCCTCAATGACAACTGGGAAAGAAGGATTGACGGGCTTGCCGTAATTCACAGGGAAAAAAAAAAAGGGAGCTTGGGCAGGAGAACAACTCCGGGCTCAGCAGGGTCGGGGTGACAGGCAGCCGTGGGGTAACAGGCAAAAGTCGCCTCTCTTCTGGATTCACTGCTAGACCGGTCCTTATAAAATTCAGCCAATGTGCTTGTTGGAGAAATTGAAGAGAGGCAGAGGGTTTTACAAGTCCTCCCCCCCCACCCCCGTGCCTTAACTGACAGCAAATAGCGCAAACGTTTTTCACACATGCGACTTTTTAATTCCCACAGCAGCTCTAGCTCCCTACCCTACGGTTTTAATGCCTTTGCAGACTTTATATTAAACCCCAGAAAACAGATAGGAAAATGTATTATTATTTTTTTTTCCATTTACATCTGAGTTACTAACTGGAAATAGCCTTATTTCATAGAAGCTAGGAATACGAGCGGGTTTTGAGCTGACGATGAATATCCTGCAAAGAACAAAGGAAGCCGAATAACGCAGCCCAGAGCCTGTTGCATATAATTCTTGTCAGTAACAATTTTTGCTAGCTGTTCAGGGGAGTACGGCTCCTGGTTTCAGAGCTTTAAATGACTTAACCAGACTTTTTATGAGGACACAGTATCTAGCAAACTCCAAGTGCAAAACAATGCAAGTTTCTAGAAGCAAAGATTTGGCTGCTGGTTGTTGTTGATCAGCAACTATTCAGGAGCTTTTATAAAATGCAGATGTGATCTCAGTTCTTTCTCTAGGAAACAAAAACAATGAGGTTTCAGCCTGGCCTTACTAGCAAGTAATGAGAATTACCATCCCGTCGACACAAGTTCGCCGTCTCTAGCAAAGCTTGTAAGGTACACGAAGCCACCTTCCAAAGCAGCTGAGGTAGGTTCACCATTCCTGGATCGATGGCACTGAGTTTGAGAGCTACGTTAGTCACCTTGGATGAGTAAAAAGCAGGGTTTTGAAAAGCAGCGTCTTACACTTAAATGTGTCCGTCCCCCCCCCGTATACACACAAACAGATTAAAAAATATAAAGAATAATCAGATGTAAGTTTTTACAGGAAAAGTACGTCAGGCATCTGAGGTTTCTTACTGTGAAAACACTGCAGAAATCTCAGGTAAAGAAAGTACGTAACGGCCTCCTTACCTGAACAAACCTTGTCAGCGATCATTTAAAGTAAAGAGGTGACCCTTTTACTCATTTTATCTCAAATTGCTGGGTATCCTGGGAACAGGAGAAAACATGTGAGGCCTTTAAATATAGCCTCCCTGGTTCTTGGAAGATAAAAGATGGGAATGAGAAGGAGTTGTTGATCGGGAGGGACTGGCCTTGTCCTCTTCTAGGTTTCATGTTTTCTCTGAGATTTGTGGGTTGCCCCCCCGCCCCTGCCCCTTTTTCCCTTTGTTTTTTTTAAGCAAGCTGTTGTTTTGGACGAGGGAAGATGTTAAAAATAGTGTTCTCCTGGATCTTGTAAATCTGGGTGTGTTTACACATTGTAGATTAGATTAGTGAGCTTCTAGAGGTAGGTGACCTGTAGTGCCTAAAAATCAGCTTTTTCAAAAGGGAAAATAGGAAGTTACTTTTATAATAGATGTATTTCCCAATTAGATGAAAAGTGCCTGTTGCTACGCTGTTTCTACGTTCTGTATGAGCTGCGCTCCACTCTATGTGTAATTATCTGCTAGAATGCATGCTCTGCATGTGTTTTTAGTTAAAATTTCTTAAAACACGGTCTTAAAGTCTGCATATTTTCAGCCTAGTCCTTTAATAACACCCATAAACTAGCATGTGTCCATCGCGCATGTGGAATATCTATTTATAATACCTATTTTCAACTATTTGGCTTTGAGATTTTGGTAGCATGTGTCGTGACTAATATTTCTTTTCCTTTTTTACCATTAAATATGACAAACTAATACATACTTCCAGTTTCACTTTTTAACTCTAAGAAATAAGGTCTGCTTAGTGTTTTGTAGGGGGACAATAAATCAAGTAAGTTTCTTTTTCTTCTTGCTACTTTTTTTTCCGTGTTGAAACAAATGGTATCAACTGAACAGGAGAACCCTTCTTTTCTGGGAAAAAAAACCCCAAACCCCCAAACCCTGTAGCATCTTCTTACTCTTTATTCTCAGATCCCAATTACCATCATGCCTGTCATGGTGTAGCTCTCAAGGACACATGGTGAGATGAGTGGCACCCGATACCGCCTGCCTGATTCCCTTCTTTAGTGACTGTGGGGTTTCTCGCATGCAAGCGTGCGTGATTTTCCCCCTTTGATGGTGTTTGTTGCACAATGAGGCTGGTCGCAGCCGGGATAACAGCCCGGGCTTTGTTGGGAAGCGCAATAGAACAGACCTTCTTAGCAGTTTCTATGCAAGCACTTTTCCCCTAGCTCCCACTGGTGCATGTAAACTACTTTGCACACAACGAAACACTTAAGTGATGTGCTCTTGTTCGTTTAAATAATTTTTATGTCTGCTAAGGGCTTGTTCTTGGTAAGTCCTTCTTTGAAGGCCCAAAGTTTCCTTTCAAATTTTCTCTGACTTATAGCTTGGTAGTAATGAGAGTATAAAATACATGTACTTTTAGTGAAACTCTTCACTGCAAGACCCAGAAAAAGCAGTACCTGACCTCCAAAGAGCTCCTCTGGCCCCATTTTCCCAGCACTGGTACAGCATTTCTGCTGGATCCTTAAGGAGAGCATGAGGACAGGGAGAAAATGTGCCTACCACTTATGCCTGCAGAGAGAATTAGGAAAATACTTGACGGCTGGGTCACTTACCCCTTCTGCTTTGTATAAATGCTCTGTGGCTACAGCTGCGATAAAAGGGAAATTCCTAGGTATCCTTGACGCTGTTCCATTGCTCCTAGTAACACTGGAAAAGTCAGGCCACTGCTGGGCTTTGATCGCTCCTAGGGTACAGGAGGAACGCCAGCAGCTGCTCCGGATTTTCCTCCCGCCGCTTCCGGCGGCTGTGGAGCTGCGCTCACACTGCCGCGAGGCGTGGGGGCTTCCCCAGCGATGGCCATCCCAGCGATGGCCGTCCTGGTCTGTCCCTGTCCCTGTGCTGCCTGGAGCCGCGGTGTCACCTGGAAGGCGGGCGGCCGCCGCCCTTGCGGCGAAACGGTGGGGCGCCTGCCGTAGGGCGTTCCGCCAGGGCTCGTGGTTGTACAAACAGCGGGTTGTAGCTGTTTAACTACAGTCAGCAGTTCAACCCCCCCTTTTGTTTGGAGTGTAGTAGCCAAATGCGTCCGTGGCGGGTGCTGTACCAGAGGTAGCAGCCATGCAGGAGAGCTTACTCTCTCCGCAGCTGAGGGAGAGGAGAAGAGGCGAAAACTCACAAGGCAAGAGCCAAAATCAGCTGGGCTGTTCATGCACCACCACTGTGTTTCCTATGGCATAACAGAAGAGCAGCTAGCACTAGCAGTACGGCCCTAAAATTGGCCCTTTTTCCCTTTGGGGTCCATTTCAGGTGCCGAGGCGCTCTGTTAGCCTCCAGGGAGTGCTACTGATGGGCTGAAAAGCCCCGTGGAGGATCAGGAGCTCCTTTGGAGGACCAGGAGCTGTCAGGAGAGAGAAAGAAGATGCTCTGTTTGAAAAGGTAATCCTCCTAATCGTTTGGGAAGGTAATCCTCTGGTCCTTCACCGGTGTCATTTACATAGGCAGTGTCCTCATGCTCGAGTTCGGTGTTAGCAGGGCTTGCGAGGAATCAAGCCAGAAGCTGGCTCATTTTTCCCCATTTTTACCGATGTTATCATTTGCTTCTAGCAACAGCATCTCAGCCTCTGCTCTAGACGGTCGCTGCGGTGGCACAGGCGCAGCCCCGGAGCTGGGCAGCGCTGCCACTCACATCCCCGGGCGAAGGTCAGTGGCTGCATAGTGGCCTCCGGATTCCTCAGATACCGACCCTTGTCATGTGGGGAGGCATCAACCTTTGGCCCTGAGTAAGTGTCCTCGTATCTCACCTCATTTAGTCTGGCCTGCCGTTTGACCCCGTCCGATATAAAGCCCTTCCCTCTGGCACCCTGCAAACCGAAGCCCCATCTTGATGATTTCCAGTAGGCCACTTGCCTGATGCCCGATGGAGAACACCCCGTGCGTTGGGGCCGCACGCTCACAGCCCCTCCCACTCACAGAGGCAAGGGGGATGGAGGAGCCGCAGTGGCTCCCTCTGGAGTCCTTCCCACGGGAAGGTGTTCATACCTTCTGTGTTGTGCGACTCAGGTGTTTTGGGGGTTTGAGGGTTGATTGTTTTTTTTATTGTTTTTCCTCCTGGTTCAGTGCAAGCGACTCACTATCAAGGCCATGCCCCCGAGGGAGTCCCTTACTTCAAATCAGGCTCTTGGGACAGAGTAAGAAGCATCACCAGATCTCAGCATGTTCCAAAAACGTGAGGTTTCTCTTGTCTCCTTTAATACAGAGCTTGGCCAAGCTCACCTCACCTCAGTACACCACCCCTCTTCCAGCCATCTCCTGTGTTTACCTGACGCATGACCTCACATGGCTCCCTCGGGTCCACCTCAGGGCCGTACAGGACGTCGCCTCAGTTCGGCTCTGGTGGGCAATCGTTTTGCTTCCTCGGGCTGGAGAAGCAGCTGCTTTCTGTGTTACCTGCTTTAAGAGCCTCGCTGGCCCGGTGTTTCTTTCCTTGGTTGATTGTTTTTTTTATTGTTTTTCCTCCTGGTTCAGTGCAAGCGACTCACTATCAAGGCCATGCCCCCGAGGGAGTCCCTTACTTCAAATCAGGCTCTTGGGACAGAGTAAGAAGCATCACCAGATCTCAGCATGTTCCAAAAACGTGAGGTTTCTCTTGTCTCCTTTAATACAGAGCTTGGCCAAGCTCACCTCACCTCAGTACACCACCCCTCTTCCAGCCATCTCCTGTGTTTACCTGACGCATGACCTCACACGGCTCCCTCGGGTCCACCTCAGGGCCGTACAGGACGTCGCCTCAGTTCGGCTCTGGTGGGCAATCGTTTTGCTTCCTCGGGCTGGAGAAGCAGCTGCTTTCTGTGTTACCTGCTTTAAGAGCCTCGCTGGCACGTTGTTTCTTTCCTTGCCTCCAGCAAGAAGCAAACACGTCTGACTAATTGCAACAGGGCTGTGCCAGCGCCTTCTTGCAGTCAGGACAGCGTGTGAAATGCACAGCATTTTTTCCACAGCACACCTCCTAGCAAATGGTCTTGAGATAAAATAGCAGGGAACAGGCGCTTGCAGATTCTTTCAGCTACCTTGTACTCTTTAAAAGGGTGAAAGCAACCCAGGCTTGGAGAGGAGGGTCCCAAAGTGGCCAGTCCCCACTGGTCTCAGTACTTCCAGCTTCGGGTCCCTACCAGGGAGGCTCTTCCTTTGAAGTACATCTGAGTACCAGAGCCAACGTGAGGAGGAGGAGGAAACTCTCAGCTTGTAAAGAGAGCCCTGCAGGTAAAGTCTAACAGCCTGCTGGTCTCTTTGCTTGCAGGTATTTCCTGTGGATGCATTAAAAAAAGAATTGTGGGTTTTGCTGGTGCCGCCTGTGAGTGGGCAACTCTCTCTGTATGCAGGAACAGGGAATTTCGAAGATCAGGCTTTAAAGCATCCCACTGATGCATTTTAGCCTACCTGCATGCTTTTCGAAGTGTGCCAGAGTGCTTTAAAAGGTCAGATAAGCTCCGTCTTTGCATGAGTTAGTCCTTTTCCTGGAGCTGGCATGCGGGAAGGGGAACATCTTGGCAGCCAGGGAGGAGGGCAGCGGTGGGGGGGGCAGAGCGACACTGCTAAAGGATGCAAAGTCCCACTTGAGTGTCTCTGCTTTATGAACAGGGGTTTTATTGGGGCTGGCGGGACTTACAGCTGCGTTTGACTCTTTATACCACATTTAATACCAGGGTGCTGCACACTGACTGTAAGGTATTTTTTTTTCCTCGCAGTACCCTCTCAGTTTGCAATGGCCATTCTTTTTGTCTGCTTTGCAGCAGAGGTAAAAAATTTCTTTTTTCATCATCGGCTTTTCTTTTCCCACATTGCCACTGAATTTTTGATGTTCACATGTACATTAGCAGATTGGGAAATCTCCCGACGTATTGTGAAACGGGCTTATCATAGTCTGCCAAGCTCTACCAGCCTATCGCTTGTCTTCCATACCACCTTGCCCATTTGAACTTCATTGTCAGGTTTATTCAAGCTTATGCCCAAATAGCTGCCTTTTATGAAAGGCCCGCCCTACCCTACTGCTTTGCCATGCCTCATGTCATCTTGTGCAATGAGGCAACGTGGTCTTAAACCTCCTCTCTCCGAGGCGCCGTTCAGCATCTCTGCAAATCAAATGGTAGTGATCCAATTTAGGATTAGGAAATGGAGGCAGATGAACAATTCCTTGTCTGCATAAGATTGGAAAAACAGTCGGGGCAGAGCTGAGTCTAGAACCCAGAGTAAGTCATGGGGCTGCCTGCCGTAACAAGAAAGGGGAGCTCGCAGAAACTTCTTTTTCAGAGATGATTTATTAAATCTTCTGTAATTAGTTTAGTAAACAGTAACAGGTGGGAAACAAAGGACAAAATGTTCTCTTCCAGCTTCCGTAGGTTACTTGGTATCTCTCACAGCTATAAGGGGTTAATGGTGGCCCTAGGGGAGGATCGTACTATAAAACTTTTACTAAATGTTTTAAAACCAATGAAAGAGACATTGCCAATTTGAGCTTTCTAAAATTTTGCAAAGTGTATTTTTTCCATTGCTGTCAAAGCACCTTTGAAGTGCTAGATCCTGAAATTTTTAATCATTTCCAAAAAAATAGCTACGTATGCTCTGCTGATGCTGACCCTACACTGCAAGAGCAGTTCCACTGGTTATGCAGGGTACTGTTGCGGGCAGACAACAAATAGAATGCTTCAAAGTGGAAAATCATTTTTCCTAGCTTCCTTTACTTGCAGAAGTATTTTAAATCTTACTTGTAGTCTCAGTAAGTGACATTTTAGACAGGTGGGTTTGGGTTCTCCTACCAATTTGATGATGTCTCTTTCAGACGGGCCTTCCTGAAAACTATCAAGTCTCCAACTGAGAAATGAGAAAATCCTTTCGTGAGCGTAGTAATAATTCTTAGATAGTCCTTATGGCTGAATTTCATGAAAATTTGCTTTTGTGAAAAACCAAGCTGCAGTTTCAGGTATATTGTTCTGCTTATCGTAGACGTGGGTGTAAAACATCCTTTTTTTTTCCATGGAGAGCATTCAGCTTGGGTTTTCAAGGAACAAGGAGCCCTGTAAAGGAAAAGGCTCTGCAGGTCTCAGTCTTTAGCGTAGAAAGGAGACAAGTGGAAGTAGATGCAGTCACAGTTGGCTTTCGTAGGTAACGATGTGCGTGCATCAATATGAGACACATGCGGAGGAACTACAGGGAATCATTGATGCTGGGCATAGGATTTGCCTTTGGTTTCTTGCAGTGCAGGCCAAGAGACAGACCGGCAATAAAAGGTTGAAGGCTGCCAGAGCCCTGTGCTCTCCTTCTCTTCATAAAGTGCAAACCTATGCCTTGGGATATAAACTTGGAAATAAGTAAGTACCCCTGAGGTTACGGCGTCCATTCAGTGTGGAATAAGATAAGGTAAGGAATAGACTAGATAACTTTGTTGTGACATTTTCCTTCACATTTTGATTTTGAAAGAGAAATTACTTTTGTT